TGAGAAAAACTCTGAACTTACCTGCCAATGAATAAAAGTCGCACAACTCACACTTGAAAAAATTTAAAGCCTGATTAATTGACTGATTCCGTAAGAATCCCAATTTATCAACAACCCTAAGAAGGAGAAAAAAAAAAAAAAAATAATAATAATATCTCATGATACTAGAGAATTAGTCTCGGATGAGACTTATATACAAGGGAAGAAACAGGACTGGACTTCCAAACCTCTACATGGTCGTCATGCAAGCCTCCTCAGCCAACCCTATGTCGACTCTAAGGCCTCGAATGGATGGTTAGGACGAGCCGACATATTTGCAGAGACAGAGGGATTCATGATAGCGATCCAAGACCAAGTTATTGCCACCAAAAACTACCTTAAGTACATAATAAGGGCTCAAGTGGAAAATGACTTGTGCAGAAAATGTCATCAACAATCCGAGACCATCCAACACATAACAAGCGCTTGCCCAATACTAGTGCCAAGGGAATATCTCTCGAGACACAATCAGGTAGCTAAGATTGTCCATCAAAGTTTGGCTTGCTTACATGGCCTCCTGAGCGAAGAGATACCATATTACAAGTACGAGCCTAGTCCTGTCTTGGAAAACTCTACGCATAAGTTGTACTGGGATAGGTCGGTACTAACAGACCGTACTATAGTCCACAATAGGCCAGACATCATCATCGTTGATAAATCAAGAAAACGAGTTTTGTTAATTGACATAGGAATCCCAAATGGTCACAACATCTTGACTTACTACGCTGAGAAGGAAGCAAAGTACCAGAGACTTGGGCAGGAAATTCAACAAATGCGGCGCCAGGAGAATGTGTCTGTAGTCCCGTTGATTATATCTTCCACCGGTGTAGTACCAAAGTCACTCACTAACAATCTGAGGATGCTGGAAATTGCCAATAAATTAGCGATTATCCAAAAGGCAGTGATACTATCCACTACCTCTATTGTACGCACATTCCTAAACGTTTCTATATAATTAAAATGCAAGAATCTTGCCATGGCCGATCTTGCATTTGTCCCACCTATCCTAGAGATAGTGATACCAAAACATAATAATAATAATAATAATAATAATAATAATAATAATAATAATAATAATAATAATAATAATAATAATAATAATAATAATAATAATAATAATAATAATAATAATAATAATAATAATAATAAAAATAATAATAATAATAATAATAATAATAATAATAATAATAATAATAATAATAATAATAATAATAATAATAATAATATTAATAATAATAATAATAATAATAAGGGGTGGGTTGGCTCAGTGGTTAGAGTCATGACTTTGAGATTGGAAGGTCTCAGGTTCGAATCCCACCGTTGGCCGGGATTTTTTCATTTAATTTAATTATTTAAAATTAATTCTGATGCCTTGGTAGGATTCCCCACTTGACCATTCTCTGTTGGGTTCTAATTAACAGTGCTGTTCCTAAAGTGGCGCTGGGAAACAGTAACAAAGCCTACATAGAACACGAGGCTAATGGCCGTAGCAGTCGACGCCGATGACACCAAATTAAAAAAAAAAAAAAAAAAAAAAAAAATAATAATAATAATAATAGTATAGTATAGTATAGTAACGTTTATTGACCACTTTACATACAAGGTACATTTAAAGTCATGAGTAATATTCTACATTATAATAAAACATATTAAAATAGTCATCGTGACGGCTATTCACATCTATGAGCCGCTGAATCAAAAAAGTTTACAACATTAAATATAAAATCGAAATACATACATATAAATTAGAACAATAGTAAAATAAAAATTTCGAATGAGAATAAAAAGACGAACAGAATAAAATAGAACAATTAAAATTATATAAAAATAGCACATAAAAATAACATAACTACACAATTAAAAGAATAAATCATTGTATCGTTAAAAGTTAAAATAGTTTATAGAATATATAAAAATCTATAAAAATGAATTTACATTAACTATTTGGTCGACTACATAAAATTTAAATCAAATATAAAACATATACATTATTTTAGTTCGTGAAGGAAGTCATCAATACTGTAAAAGCAATAGTTTAGCAAAAACTCTTTGGTAAATGTTTTAAACCGAGTTTTTGACATACTTTCAATATTAATGTCGCCGAAGTAGTTGCGGAAAGAGTTAAAAAGGGAAACGTCTAAAGTATTGCTTTTAGTACATTTTAATCTAGAATCATTAATGATTATATTTTGACAAAAACGGGTATTGTAGTTATGCACATCCACATGCCTAGTTAAATTGTGTCGATTATCATGTGTTTCTAATAATGTTTCAAATATGTACATTGAAGGAAGAGGCAATATTCCTAATTTCTTAAATATTGGTTGACACGGTGTATTAAAAGGAGCGTTATCGACTAGTCGTACTGCAGCCTTCTGTAGTATGAAAACTTTATACGCATTAGTCGAGTTACCCCATAGTCTAACTCCATAGGTTATAAGACTATGAACTAAAGAAAAATAAATTGTTCTGAGTAAATATGATGGTAAACAGGACTTTAGTTGTCGAATAACAAATATTTGCGATGATACTTTAGAGCAAAGGTAATCAATGTGCGATGCCCAATTCAAGTAAGTGTCCAAATATAACCCTAATAATTTTACGGGTTGTGATTTTGTGGCCCATTTATCTGAACTTATTAATAAATTATTTGTTTTATTTTCATTTAGTTTTAATTTGTTAGCAGAAAACCATTCATTTACTTGATTGATGCCATCCGATTTGTTTCCCTTTGTTAATATAGTGGTATCATCGGCAAACAATACGCAGAATTTATCTATTGCATCGGGGAGGTCATTTACAAAGATAATAAATAATATCGGTCCTAAAATTGAACCTTGAGGCACACCACTGGTAATAGGTTGTAGACTAGACTTCTGATCCCCTTGCACTACATATTGCGTTCTATTATTGAGATAGGATTTAAATAGCTGTAGTTCTCGACCTCTGATGCCATAAAACTCTAATTTGTTTAAGAGAAGATTACTAGGAACACAATCGAATGCTTTACTTAAATCGCACATAGTTGCTACTGTGCTGGCACCATCATTAAGATTCTCTATTATTTCTTCTAAAAGACAAATCAATGCACGAATCGTGGATTTGTTTTTCCGGAATCCGAATTGAAATTCAGATAACAGAGATTTTGACTCAAAGTATGAAATCAACTTCTCTTTTATAATAATTTCAAATATTTTATTAAGTACAGGTAAAATCGCTACTGGTCTATAATCATCTGGAACATCCACACTTCCTTTCTTATACAGAGGTATTATCTTGGTGATTTTAAAAGAGTCTGGCCAGCTTTCATCTTCGATGCATTTGTTAAACAAGTTAGTAAGTGGTTTAACTAAACATTTAGTAGATTCTTTAATCATTCTACTGTTAATATTATAAAAATCAATACATGACGAATTACTTAGTTTCAGTATAGCTTGTTGCACATCTGACTCCAAGATTGCACTCATAAAAAAAGAAGAAGTCGGTTTTGTAATGTTCTTTAGAAAAAAACCAGATTCGTATTTTGACTGTCCAATGGACTGAAAGATTGTATCGGAAATTGAAACAAAAAAATCATTAAATTCAGAAGGAGAAATTGAGGTCACTGTTTTTTTAGATGAACGTTTTCTCTCTGAGTTAATTATTTGCCAAGATGATTTAGATTTATTGTTCGAATTTTTAATGATGTCTGCATATGATTTTCGTTTTTCTTCTCTGATTGAATTTCTATATGTTTTTCTAAGAAATTTATAATTATGCCAATCTTCTTCAATATTTGTTTGAATAAATATTTGTTTTGCATTATTGAGATCGGTTCTCATTTTGCGTAAATTATTATTGAACCACTTTATATTCCGATTTTGGTTTTTAACATTTTTTAAAGGAAAACATATATCAGAATTCGACTGCAAAATATTTAAAATCAGAGTAGCAAGCTCAGAAGCGCTTACAATATCTATATTTAACGACTCCCATGAAAAGCATGTAAGATTGGTAACAAATTTCTTAATGCCATTGTTGGTTATAACTCGAGTCTTACCCGGTGCATTTTGTTTTATTTTATTCTCGCAGATATTAAAATATATGAATTGACCATTATGATCTGAAATATGCGGATCTAATACTCCTACCTTAAAAAGGTCTGAATTTAAATTAGTAACGATGTTATCTAAGCACGAACGACTATCTAAAACTATTCTTGTTGGCTCCTTAATTGTATAAGTTAACCCAAATGATAAAATAATGTTACAAATATCCTTAACTTTATCGCCATTTTTATGAAACTCCACGTTAAAATCGCCCATTATTATAATTATTTCATATCTCGAATAAAGAAAAGCGAGCAATTTTAAAAAACAATTTTTGAAAATTTGGAAATTATTCCTACTGGACGACCTATATAATGATACCAATACAGTTTTGCAATTTATTACCTCTGTCCCGCAAAACTCAGCATCATATACCTCCGAGAAATCCTTAAGATCAATGGGATTACATTTTATATTTTGTTTAGCAAATATTGCCACTCCTCCATGTAACTTTTTAGGGCGAGTGAAACTAGATATCAAAATATAGTCATTAAGTTTTATCATGTCTAAACAAGGCTGGTCCAGCCAGTGCTCTGAGAAACAAATTATATCGAAAGGGTGGTCATGAAAGAAAATAGACAAATCATTCAATTTACTTATTAAACTACGAGCATTAATGTGAAAAGCTGAAATGCTATTTGGATATTTTAAATAATTTTTACTCATTGGCTTGTTCTGAGAGATTGTTGATTTGTCTTTTTCTCGATAGAAAAAACTCATTAATGCGCACACCACTGGGCCATAATTCCGGTTTCATGATTTTCTCCATTTCAGATTTAGGGACCGATATTTTAAAAGAAGAATAGTCCTGTGGATGTCTTGAATTTAACTTTTCTACTTTAAGATCTGGAACAATTTTCTGCAAATATTTACTAAGTTCATCCGTATCTGTATCAGGATCCCAATAAATAGAGTGCAATAGTTTCATATCAGGATTTATCGGTTTAACAGATGCCTTCAGCTGCAAGTTGTTACATGCACTCATATTGCCTGTGAAAAGGTTTCTTGAAGCCCTTTGTGTTGTAGATACTACCCTCTTAGAACTTGACGCGGACTCACTGTTTATATGTATCAGTTTATTAAAAATGTTAGACGTTTGAGCATTTTCAATTGCTCTAGAAGCATTTTGAGCAGTGATTAGAGATGTCTGATTAGGTGTATTGATTGGAGTAAATACCTTGTTTACCTCATGAGATGACAACGAATTATCATCCTCTCTGGCATCAGATGCTGTTGAGATTTTCTTAGGATACTGTATTGAAACAGAACAGAGGCTTTTTTGAAGTAAGCCTACTTGGTCCTGCAAAGATTTTATAGCGATCTCTTGATATTGAATAGTTTGATTTTTACTAATTACTAACTCTTCAAAATGTTTTAATTTTTCTAAAAGATTATCAGTAGAAATATCGGCAATGGCACAAGCAGATTCGTTAATTTCACCACAACAATTACAGGAGTTTTCATCGATTTTTTTCGCATTTTTAATACTATTCAAACAACTTGGATGAGATACAATACCACAGACAATACACTTTAAGCCAGATGTGGTTACTTTCTTACATCTTTTGCACCCACTCACTGATTTTGTATCAGGCATGATGTAGAAAGTCAATCTTAAACTAAATTAAAAATCTAATGTAAATTTCTTGAACAAATTTTTAACCGTAGTGGAATGAACTAAAGCATTAGCCCAATAACAGAATGTTTACAATGTTTTTGTACTCACATTCCCAGTTTTAAAATCCGTTTCTTACGTTATTTTAAGACAAATACTGCTGCAAACACTTGTACCGATGCACTTAACACTTATATTAACTATGCACTGCACAAAATATTTGATTTACCTTTAAAACCACGAATTTTATAACAAAATTTAAGAGCTATCACAAACAGGTGTATACTATGACCACTTTTCCACCAATAATAATAATTATAATAATAATAATAATAATAATAATAATAATAATAATAATAATAATAATAATAATAATAATAATAATAATAATAATAATAATAATAATAATAATAATAATAATAATAATAATAATAATAATAATAATAATAATAATAATAATAATAATAATAATAATAATAATAATAATAATAATAATAATAATAATAATAATAATAATAATAATAATAATAATAATAATAATAATAATAATAATAATAATAATAATAATAATAATAATAATAATAATAATAATAATAATAATAATAATAATAATAATAATAATAATAATAATAATAATAATAATAATAATAATAATAATAATAATAATAATAATAATAATAATAATAATAATAATAATAATAATAATAATAATAATAATAATAATAATAATAATAATAATAATAATAATAATAATAATAATAATAATAATAATAATAATAATAATAATAATAATAATAATAATAATAATAATAATAATAATAATAATAATAATAATAATAATAATAATAATAATAATAATAATAATAATAATAATAATAATAATAATAATAATAATAATAATAATAATAATAATAATAATAATAATAATAATAATAATAATAATAATAATAATAATAATAATAATAATAATAATAATAATAATAATAATACGATACGATACGATACGATAAGTTTATTGACCACTTTGAAATATACAGGTATTTTTGAAGTCCAAATATTAAGCAAAAGTATAAATAAATACATTAAAATTAGTTATAAAAATAAATTACAATTACATTGAGTAAAATTACATAGAAATAGGTTAAAATAACATAGAAGTAAAAGTATAAAAAATATATAAAATAGTTTAAACACACAAATTTAAGATACATGATATGACTTTTTTTTAAAAGAAGTTCAAATATTCTTGAATGCTGTAGAAGCAGTGCTCTAGTAAAAATGCTTTAACATGTTTGTGGAACTGCTTTTGATTTAATTTTTTAATATCAACAATTGTAGCTAATTTGTTGTAGAGATTTACGTCGAGCTTATTTATTTCTGACACTTTTAATCTAGAAAATGGTACTACAAGGTTTTCTGCCCCTCTCGTATTGTAACTATGTACATCGCAATGTTTGGTCCTCATAGAAACATCCCGATGAATCATAGTTAAGGTTTCAAATATGTAAATACATGGAAGCGGAAGAACCTTGTACTTTTTAAACAGCTCTTTACAATGCACTCTGTTTCTGGCAGCATCAATGATGCGCACAGCAGCCTTTTGTAAAGTAAAGACTCTGTGGGTACCATTGGCTCTACCCCATAGTGTGATGCCATAAGAGAGGTGACTATGTACAATTGCAAAGTAAATTGTGCACATGACATTGTTACTGCTTATAGAACCTCGTAGTTGGCGTAATACAAATATTTGAGTGGAAAGTCTTGAACACAGCCTCTCTATATGATCAACCCACGTAAGTGCAGTATCAAAGGTAACGCCTAATAATTTAACTGGTTCAGACTTTGCGGCACATTTATCAGAACTGAAAAGTATATTTTGTGTCTTACTGTTATTAAGTTTCAATTTATTTGCCGTAAACCAATCCTTCGCCAAATTTAGGTTTGCTGTACTCATGCACTCTTCACCTTTAGTCAGCAAAGTAGTGTCGTCAGCGTACAGAATGACTTGACTCCTCTCATTAACTGATTTGGGTAAATCATTTACGTACAAAATAAACAATAATGGGCCCAAAATTGAACCCTGAGGTACTCCACTCTTGACTCTGACTAAGAGGGAGTCAAGGTTCTGGTAGCTCACGTATTGTTTCCTATCCTCCAAATAGGATCTGAACAGGTTGAGTTCCTTATTTCTTAATCCATAAAACTCTAATTTACTACATAAAATATCTATGTTTACGCAATCGAAGGCCTTAGTCAGATCGCACATTACAGCATGTGTGACAAATCCTTCATCAAGACCTTCGACTATGTCTGCAAGTATACTTTTTAAAGCTAGAATGGTCGACTTCTCTTTTCGAAATCCAAATTGACACGATGATAAAATTTGTTTGTTTTCTAAATATAAAGTCAATTTTTCTTTCAGTAAAATTTCTAATACTTTTGAAATGGATGGTATTATTGTAATTGGTCTATAGTTATCAACCTGATCAGCATCTCCTTTTTTGAGGATGGGAATAACTTTAGCAACTTTCAAGGCTTTAGGCCAGCTACCTTCATTTATGCACATATTATACAAAGTGGTCAGTGGTGTAACTAGTGAGTTAAGGGCTGCTTTGAGCATGATGGCATTTATGTTGTAGTAATCCAGACATGGTTTATTTTTTAAAGATAAAATAGCCTGCCTTACGTCACTCTCTAAGACTGCAGTCATAAAAAAAGATGATGAGGACCTTGAAAGGTTATTCATATAAGAAATAGGACTCATACTTGGATCTTCTAGATCGGCCAAAATTGATTCGGGTATATTTATAAAAAAGTTATTTAACATTTCCGAGTTTAAGGAAGTTATATTTTGAGTTTTCTTTTTATTATTTCTCTCTTGGTTCACTATACTCCAGATAGCTTTATTTTTGTCACCTGCAGAAGATATAAATTCTTCATGGGATTTCTTTTTTTCTCTCTTTAAAGATTTCCGATACTGTTTGCGAAGATCGCAGTATAAATACCAATCAGTTGGAGAATTTGAAATTTGAAATGATTTTCTAAGTTTTTCAACTTCTCGGCGCATTTCCCTTAGCTCATTAGTGTACCATTTTATTTTTTGTTTATTACAATTTAATAGTTTAATAGGAAAACAAATGTCTGCTTTTTGGGATAAAATATTTACAATATAATCAGCATACTCATTTAGACTTAAATTGCATATATCGGGCCATATTATTTCACTAACTTCACTCGCGAACTTTATTATTCCACTCTCGTTAACAACTCGTTTCTTATAACAGACGTTTTGCGATGACGATTCTATTTTAAAAAAAAGATAAACACCAGAATGGTCTGAGACAAATGGTTCATAGACTCCTGATATGAGTTCTTCTCGATTTAAATTTGTTATTATGTTATCTAAACAATTTCTACTGTTCAAAGTTATTCTCGTTGGAATATGTACCAAATGTCCCATACCATACATAGAACATATATTTCTTAATTGACTTGCATACTCAGTATCTCCATCAAGGTTCAGGTTTATATCACCTGCAATAACGACCGTCTTATACTTATTTGTAAGGTAGTCTAGTACATCATAAAAAGCCTCAATAAATATAGATAAATTCCCTTTGCTTGATAATAATAATAATAATAATAATAATAATAATAATAATAATAATAATAATAATAATAATAATAATAATAATAATAATAATAATAATAATAATAATAATAATAATAATAATAATAATAATAATAATAATAATAATAATAATAATAATAATAATAATAATAATAATAATAATAATAATAATAATAATAATAATAATAATAATAATAATAATAATAATAATAATAATAATAATAATAATAATAATAATAATAATAATAATAATAATAATAATAATAATAATAATAATAATAATAATAATAATAATAATAATAATAATAATAATAATAATAATAATAATAATAATAATAATAATAATAATAATAATAATAATAATAATAATAATAATAATAATAATAATAATAATAATAATAATAATAATAATAATAATAATAATAATAATAATAATAATAATAATAATAATAATAATAATAATAATAATAATAATAATAATAATAATAATAATAATAATAATAATAATAATAATAATAATAATAATAATAATAATAATAATAATAATAATAATAATAATAATAATAATAATAATAATAATAATAATAATAATAATAATAATAATAATAATAATAATAATAATAATAATAATAATAATAATAATAATAATAATAATAATAATAATAATAATAATAATAATAATAATAATAATAATAATAATAATAATAATAATAATAATAATAATAATAATAATAATAATAATAATAATAATAATAATAATAATAATAATAAGAGTAATAATTAAATAAAATAGGAATTCAATGTATAATATTACGGGAGCGTTTAATATAGTTTCTTACTGAAAGCTAAATGAAAATATTCATTATCAATAATTATTAAAATGTAAATTACTAAAACAAAATCATTTCTTTATAATATTTATTATGTTATAGAATCTCCTGGTCGGTAGTGGGATATACAAAAAATAAGTAAACCCTGCGCGGGCGGTAGTGGCACTCGCGCAGGTAGTTTTTGGTCGCGGTCGGTAATGGGATGGTCTGTAGCCGGTTACGCCTAGATCAGTTAACCGGGATCGTTTACCTACTTGACATTAGTATTTACCAGTGGCGTATCATATTTATATTGCCTTAAAGTGTGATATTTTTATAAGATTAAAAATTAAAATGTCTTTATAAAAGTGTACTTTTTACAATTTAACAATATTTTTAATGATTTATCAAATTTTTACTTGGTCAATTATTTTATTTGATGATATGGGATTAATTAAAGTAAAACGTTATGTAATTGCAAAAGATTTTGATGATTATCTTAGATACAGTCTTGTCCAAGGTTTTCCTAAATAGTCGTTTAACAATTTATTTATTATTTCCAAAAATTTTTGAGTTTATAGCATTAATTTCGTTAAAGATTTGCTAACTTTCCATTGTTTCCGTACGGTTTGCTGTTATTTTCTTAATTTAATATTCTTGACTTCATTCTGTGCTTTCATGTTTTGAATTCGTCTTTTGAGCATCTTTTTACGAGGGCAATCAGAAAGGTTCTTTTCTGACTGTATATGTGTATACAACTTTGTTGACAAACAGAAGGTCCAGATAGAGCTAAAGAAGCTTCATCACCTCCAGACAGAAGATAAATATCAAATCACAAAAAACAATCCTTCAACGGATACCTA